GCACTGTGGGTTAATGCACTGGGCTGCAAAGTCGGTTTGAATCACAAGAGTTGATGGTTCAGACTCACCAGCTGCTCCTTGGAAACCCTATACAGGGTCGCTATGGTTGGAACCAACTCGACAGCACTTTACATCAACATAATACTTGGAACAGAATGCCAAATGCGGTATTACCTATATCTGCAGAGGACAGACTCTAGGAAAACCATGTGTTTTCATGTTTTGTTTGGTTTGAGAAATAAATGAATACTTTGTATAACATACTTGGGTCATATCTTTAGTTCTGGCTTTTTTATTGGTGGTTTGGGATTGGAAGTTTTTCTTTTTCTTATTGTATGTGTGTTTGCATAAATGTATGTGTGTATTTGTATGTGTATAATTAAGTTGTGTGTGTATGCATACATGTATATGTACGATGGGGCTTCAAAAAGTTCTTGTTGGGAAATGCCATTTATATTTTTATTCCTTTATGAAGCTTCCTCATTTATGTATGGATACATGTATGTGGATAATATGGAGCTGGAGAGAAATGGCGTGAAATTACCATGAGTAAAGAAGACAGGAAAGGATGGCATTTAAATTTAAATGTAGCAACAGAATAGCCTACATCCTTGGAGAACCTAAAAATAATAAAAATGCTGGTTAATGTATAATAACATATTTATTCTTGTTCTTTAAAACACCATACTTTTAAAATAAGATCTTTTGACATTTTCAATGGGAACATTTTAAAATCTGTATTTAGCTGTAATATTTTGCCTCATTTATAGTATTAGCCAGTTAAAAACTTAGTAAGCTTAAGTTTTCCCCACTTTTGCTAGGCTCTGTGCTGGGAAGTACCAGACATTGTTCTTGCCTTCAAGGTTCTTCCAATTCATTGGCGACACAATCAAACATTAATCTATAGATCACGTGTTAGGCATGTACGAGGCATTGAACGGAATACTTCACATGAATGATTCAATTCTTAACAACCCTGAGAAGTGGTGGTGATGTTATTAGACCCATGAAGTCAGTTCTGACTCGGAGCGACCCTGTGCCCAACAGAACGAAACACTTTCTATTCCTGCTCCATTTGTTAAGTTTGAGCCCATTGTTGAAGCCACTGTTAAGCCATGTTGTTGAGGGCCTGTCTCTTTTTCTCTGATCCTCTGCTTTTCCAAACACAATGTCTGTCTCCAGGGACTGGTCCCTTCTGGTTATGTATCTAAAGTATGTGAATATTTTACCCTGTGAGGCAAACACTGCTATTGTATGCATTTTAAAGAGAAAATGAGCCATAGAAGATATTTAAATAACTTCTCTAGGTTACATCTGGTCACTAAGCATCAGAACCTAGTACCAACTCAGATCTGTCTAATTCCTTTGCATGTTAACACTAAATGATGCTTCAGGTATAGAATTTAGTGTGGCTCCCTGAGTTTTTGTCCCTTTATTTGTAAATGAGGCTTTTGTATCTAGGTATTGATAACCTGTGGAAGTCCCCATAACCTGTGGGGATCCCCTTAGGTTGTTCTTGGAGACTGAGTGAGTGAGTCTGTGGCAGATGTTTGCTGGAGAAGCGAGTGCAGTGATTGGTGGGTGGTAGCCATGTTTGTGCCCAGCACAAGACAGGAAGGAATAACTGGGTGTTGAGTTCCTTCCAGCTGAAACTTACTTTATTGTATGTAGTGTTTTGCCCTTTGGGCTTCCTCTTAGAATTTTAACTCTTGTTTTGAAAATACAATCTGTATCATTCTTTCTAGAAGTTTACATTAAGAAGATAAAACAGCAGTGATAGAGCGTATCAAGTCAGTCAACATTTGTCAAGCACGATATGTAGCAAATACTGTACAGCTAACAGCATCAAAACATAATAACAAAACGTAGTCCCATCTCTGATGTCCATAGAAACTTGATTTAAGAATCGAATTGCTTCCTTTATCTCCCCATCTCTGTCTCTGTGTATGATGAGAGTAAAAACTTCAATTAATTGTAAAGACTGCATTAGGTAAACGTTGTTGTTGTTGTTGTTAAGTGCCGTCGAGTTGGTTTTGACCCATAGCAACCCTGAACAGGGTTTCAGATGCTGTAAATCTTTACGGGAGCAGAAAGCCTCATCTTTCTCCCACGGAGCAGCTGGTAGTTTCGAACTGCTGACCTTGCGGTTCGTAGCCCGATTCGTAACCACTGCGCTAGCCATGGAAATTTAGGAGTTAGCCATGAATTACTGATTAGGAAGTTTTCAGCTTTTCACTTTTAGACACTATTTGCTTTGGGTAAAGCATAGAGCCCTAGTTACTACCATTCTCCATTCTCATACCAAAAGTTTGTAATAACTTGAGAAAATCCTCTCTCTGTACAAGGAATAATTATGAAGGAATTTATAGTAATGCCTGCTTGTCCTTTACTGCCCATGAGGCATGACCCGTGGGAGCCTGAAATTAGAGCACTTTTCAATAACTGTATAAGGAAATTATAATAGTTCATGTCTAATTTTATGCTAACTAGGAACCCATCTTGGAGTCCTGGTGTGGTGCTGTGGGCTAATGCGCCAGACTGCAAAGTCAGTTTGAACTACAAGGTCAGTGATTCAAACTCACCTGCCACTCTTTGGAAACCCTATACACAGTTGCTATGAGTCGAAGCTTACTCGACAGCACTTAACAACAACAGGAACGCATCTTACCCTGGATGCTAAGCTACACCAGCAGTCACAGGTGTTAAGAGTTTGAGGGGCTGTCTTCTTTCTTCTTACTGTGCCATCAGGTGAATTCTGACTCATAGTGACTCTGTATACAGTTTCCAAGGAGTGGCTGGTGGGTTTGAACTTGCCGAGCTTTCAATTTTCAGTCCAGTGCTTATCCTACAGTGCTACATTTTGCTAATTAGGAAAAGACTCTTGTGTGGGAATTACTGCAGAGAGCACCACACTACGTATAAGAATCTTGGCTACTTCCAGTGTTGAATAAGGGATCCTTTTTCTGGGTTCCCAGGAATCCTCCCAAATATCTTCGAAAATACAAGGGGCAAAGAGTAGTTTTCCTCTGACCCTTTGCACAGAAGATGGATTCTCTCCACATATGAGGTTTTAGAATTCACCCATCCTTTACCCATCCAAGGACCATGTTGGCACTGTTCACCTTTGACTTCACTCATATCTCATCTCTTTGTAAAACACCAATGTGTTTTATTACTTGTCCCACTGGCTTCTTTCCCCACCCCACCCCTATGTATGACCTTTGTTAAAGACCCTTAGAGAGATTATTTTCCTTGTTTCAAATTCTTTTTATGTCTTTTCTCTCAAGTAATACAAATAGCTTCTCAATATTAGAATGATTCTTGGTGGGCCACCCGAATATATTCTCAGATGCTTTCTATTCCATTCTTAATTTTTGGATTGATTTTTATTAATCTGAATCCATAGAGTGACTTCTTGTTGTTAAGTGCTGTTGAGTCAGTTCCAACTCAGAGCAACCCTGTATAGGGTTTCCAAGGAGCAGCTGGTGAGTTTGAACTGCTGACCTGTGGTTTAAACCAACCTCGTGGTTCAGTGCTTATCCTACAGTGCCACACCAGGACTCCAGAGTGACTTCTAGAAGTCCATAGTTAGTCATTCATAATTGTTATATAATGTTGCCTTTATTTTTGTTGTTGTTGTGAAGTGCTGTTGTCGGTTCCAACTTAATAGTAACCCTATATAGGATTTCCAAGGAGCAGCCTGTGGGTTTGGCCTCCTGGTTCAGGGTTTATCCTACAGCGCCACACCAGGACTTCTGCTTAAATCCCATTAATTTCTTAAATCTAGTGGTAATAATTACTCTCTTTCTTTGTATTACCTAAAATTCACACAGGTCAGTTATTACTGAACAAAAGGTTTTCTACTTACCAAATTTAGCCAGTATTCTAATTTTTAAAAGACAGTCTATTTTAAGTTCCGTCGAGTCGGTTCCAACTCATAGCGACCTTGTATAGGGTTTCCGAGGCTTTAAATCTTTGCAGGAGCTGAAAGCCTTATCTTTATCCCTCAGAGCATCTGGCAGGCATGAACCATGGACCTTGTGGTTTTCAGTCTAGTGCTTATCCTATGGAACCACCACACTCCTATAACTATTTTACAAAGGAAATTTTAAGAAAAAGAATCATGCAACAGGGCAAATGGAATGAAATAGGAGTTGCATAATAAAAGAAACTTTTAAAGACTGCATATTAAATGATAGCAGTGTGCTGAAAAAGATGTTTTAGCAGACATACTTATTTAAGTACTTTAAAAATTGTTGTATTCAAGATTGTGTTACCTACTGATAGGAGCATAAAACTGAGACTATGACACTTCTTTCCAAATTTCAATAGGTTTTAAATCATAGAAGCATAGTATATATATTCTCACAGGAGAAAAAGGACTTGGGATTCATTCATTTACTTTCAACCTGGAGTCCTCTGAAAATGAAATAACTTGTGTAGGTTAATTATTGACAGAGCCTTGTTCTGTCAGCCGGATCCAAATGTAGACATTTTTGACACTGTGCCTTCTCTAATTTAGTTCCCTTTTTTATTTAACAATAGATGCTGTTTACGCTACAGGTATGTTATTAGGTTATGCTTAGAAGATGGTAAAAAAAAAGTTATGTGTATGATTAAGAGATTCTGTGATTTGTATTTTAAATATTTATATGTTTAACTTTTCAAATGTGTTCATAATCAGACTGTGATACATTATCTTTATGATTTCTGACTTTTTTCTTTATTAAGATTATTGTTTTATTCATTGATTTCTGTAACGATCTCTTTATTACTTAGAACCAAATTAGATTTATATTGTTATAAACTAAATAAATCAACTGTTAGATGGTTCTTTTGTAAATTATTGTTTTGATGGAATTGTGTAGTTTTTGTTTGTTTTTTTTCCCTCCTACTAAATGCCCTTGTTAACAATATCATGATGAACTTCAAGGGTTTTTAAATTTTTGTTGTTATTGTGCCTATTACTAAAGAGATATATATATATTTTGTATTTGCAGCTGGTTTTAGAAGAAGTTTCCGTCTTAGTAGAAAAGATAAGAAAACAAATAAATCTATGTATGAATGCAAGAAGAGTGATCAGTATGACACAGCTGATGTGCCCACATACGAGGAAGTCACCCCATATCGGCGACAAACCAATGAGAAATACAGACTTGTTGTTTTGGTTGGTAAGTACTTTTGCGTGAAATTCTGAGGAAATAAATGAAATATTAACAATTTAACTTCAAAGTGCATCCTCCTTCACATTTTCTAACTAAAGAATTACTTATCTTGAACACACTTTGGTCTCTAAATGAAGTCATTAGTCTTTCTTACTTATCTGACATTTAAGAAGTTTAGCAGACATCATATATATTAAGCAACTAATAGAATTAAGTAATTTTGAATACAGTGGGAATCTCTTTCCATTTGGAATTTTGAGGCAGAAGGAGTGGTATAATCTTCCTGTAGTATTTAGACCTTCAGTGAAATTAACTATTATCTCTTGTTGTTGCTACTGTTGTTAAAATGCTTCTGAGTCGGTTCCGACTCATAGTGACCCTGTATAGGGTTTCCAAGGAGCAGCTGGTGAGTTCGAACTGTCAACCTTGTGGTTCAGACTGACCCTGTGGTCCACAGCAGCACACCAAGACTCCATTATCGCATAGTTCCAGGATAGTAACATATTTAAAGCTGGAGGGTCAGTTAACAAAATTACTGTAAAGAAATTAATAAATATATTGGGGTGTTTACAGGCACTTTAGTTGATTTGACCCCATTAACTTCCGAGCATCCATCTAGTCCAAACTTTAGGAACAGAAACAATCACCACCTTAATATTACCCAACCCTCATCTGTGTTTCGTTAAAAGTGTGATGACAGATTTTTCATCTAGTTTGGTCCTAGATGAATGGAATAAAAGCCAACAACTTTATAAATGGTTTAGAGTAAGGGAGCATGGTGTATCTTGCTTATCACTCCTTGTAAACTGAAGATGACAGGAAAATGAGGATAGTAAAACCCCTGATATTGTGGTGAAATTCTTTGAAAGATTACGTGATCTTAATTCAGACAGATGATGGAAACCATACTGCTCGTCACATATGGGAAGTTTCTCACATTGGAAGTCATTGTAAGCATCATCAGATATTAAAGTTGTATTATTGAGAAATAAGTATCCACATACTTCAAACTTTCCCTTATTAAAAATGTCCGCTTCTCTTAGTCCATGTATACTGAATCCCCCATCCCTCAACCACACAAGGAAGATATTTTCTCTCTCCCTTTTTCTTTTTTTTAACCTCATGTTTGCTATAGAGCTTATGGAGTCCTGGTGTGGTGCTGTGGGTTAATGCGTTGGACAGCAAAGTCGATTTGAACTTCAAGGTCAGCAATTCAAATTCACCAGCCACTCCTCAGAAACTCTATACAGAGTCGCTATGAGTCGGAATCGACTCAACAGCACTTAACAACAACATAGAGCCTATGCAGTCTTAGTGTGATGCTGTAGGATGAATGACTCACCATAAAGTCGGTGATCCAAAACTACCAGTCGCTCCTCAGAAACCCTGTACAGGTCACTATGCGTTGGAACCAATTCAATGACACTTAATAATAATTGAGCATATAATATCCCAGTTTTTTATTGAATTGGGTTTTATCTTGCGTTGAGATTATCTGAGACCTCCTGCGCCTTTTTCCGATCCCTTTGTTTCTACTCAGCCACTTCCTCACCAGCTCACCAGCACCTATTTTAACAGTGTCTCTTCCATCGCCAAGGTATTTCCTCCTTAGTCATGGTGTAGCGTTAGCCTGAGGAGAGAAATGCATTTATGATCAAAGGGAAAAGAAATTTTATCTATTTGATTTCATTTTCCCAATTAAGTATAGATGACTTTCTCTATAGCCAAGGAGTTATAATATAAGTTCTGGCTTTTCTCTCATTTCTATTGCCATTGAGACTAATTCCAACTGGTAACAACCCTGTTGGTGTTAGCTGCCGTTGAGTCAGTTTCCACTCATAGCAACCGTTAAGCTCATTGTAGCATCCACTTGGTCAAACCTCTATTGAGGGCTTCCTCTTTTTTGCTGGCCCTCTACTTTCCCAAGCATGATGTTCTCTGGGGGCTGTTCTCTCCTGATAACATGTTCATTGTACATGAAACAAAGTCTCGCCATCGTTGATTCTGTGGAGCATTCATGCTGTACTTCTTCCAAGACACCTATTTGTTCTTCTGACATTCCATGGTACTTTCAGTATTCTTCACCAACACCATAATTCAAATGCATCATTTCTTCTGTTGTCTTCCTTATTCGTGCCCAGCTTTCACAGTCATGTGAGGTAATTTAAAATACCATGGTGTGGATCAGGTGCACCTTAGTCCTTAAAGTGACATCTCTTCTCTTTGCACTTGAAAAAGATGTTTTCCAGCCAGTGTGCCCAGTGCAACACACTGTTGATTTTTTGACTGCTGCTTCCATGGACATTAATTGTGGAACCAAGTAAAATGAAATCCTTGACAATTTTAATGTTTTCTCCATTTATCATGATATTGCTTATTGGTCAAGTTCTGAGGTTTTTTGTTTTCTTTATGTTAAGGTGTAATCCATACTGAAGGCCATACTTTTTGATTTTTATAAATAATTGCTTCAAGTACTCTGCTTTCAGCAAGCAAAATTGTTATCATCTGCATATCACTAGTTGTTAATGAGTCTTCCTCCAATCCTGATGCCATGTTCTTCATATAGTTCTGCTTTTTGGAATACTTGCTCAGTCTACAGATTAAATAAGTATGATGAAATAATACAAGTCTAATGCACATCTTTCCTGATTTTGAATCATTCAGTATCCTCTTGTTTTGTCCAAACAGTTGCCTCTTGGTCTAGATCCAGGTTTAACATCTGATTTTAAGAAGAAAGTAGAATACAATTTTTACTTAATATGTGCTAATAATAAAATGGAAAGATAAATAGGAGAAATTTATCTTTAAATAGTCTGGATGGCAGTCCAGAGAAGAAGAAAGTAAAATCATAGTCAGAAAAACAACTAAAGAAGGTTAATGGTTATAGAAAAGAAGCAGCCAGTCAAATGAAAGGAGGAATAGGGAGTGGTTAGCCCCAAGTTACAGAGTCCTCATGGAGTTCTATTAAATGCTAATACAGTAAAGTCTGTGAAAGCCAGAAGCTGTATAAAGTAGAAACCTGTTAGAGAAGGGAAATTCAAATATTTTCCACTAACATGAGCAATAGAAAGTGATTAGACTGCACCCTGTCAAAAGTGGAAAACTAGTGAGGCCCAGAACTAGGCAGTCCTGTTGAATTCCTGTTCTCACAGTTTTCACATTGTTTGCAGGTATTAGTGTAGCCTTACGAGTGAGGCTACTAAGGTTGAAACTACCAGCCATTCTGCGGGAGAAAGATGAGGCTTTCTGCTCCCTTAAAGACTTGCAGCCTCATTTGAAACCCTATACAGGGTCTCAGTGAGTCGGTACTGACTTCACAGCAGACCACCACCATCACCCTCATCCATTCCAGTAATTCCCTTAGTGCAGTTAGAAGTCAGGGTAATGATGCCATTACATGCATGAACCTGGAGGATATTATGCTGAGTGAAATTAGTCAATCACAAAAATGACAAATATTTTATGAGACCACTACTATTAATAAGTCAAGAAGAGGTTTACATTCAGAAACGAACATTCATTGAAGGTTTTCAGGGGTCAGAGGGGGAAAGAGGGTAGACACATATTAACTTGGGTAAAGTGGAAGGCCATTCACAATAAGTGGGAGGTCAGCACAAATGATTAAGCAAAATAAAGAAACTAGGAGGAATAGGAGTTGAAAGTAACACAGGTAAATACTATTACATATGTCATCCAAAATTTCAGTAATTACAGTAATGACTATAGCCTATGAGCAAATACAAAAGTAGACATAACAGTTGAACAGATGTGAGGCAATCACAAATACATATTCATTTAATAGAGGATATTTTTACATATGTGCTGTAAATATATTCATGAATATAGTAGAGTATTCAGGATTTGTCTTCCAGCTCGCTAGTTCTGGCTTCCATCTCTTCAGTTCTACTCCTTTGCCCTTTCAGTGTATTGTCCATTTCTGATATTTTCTTATTAATAATTTGGACCTCTTTTTACAGGTTTGAATTGTTTCCAGTGCTGTATCTATCTTATTTGATTGCTCCTGTAGCGCTTTCCTGACTTCTTCCTTATTTTTCTCAAACCCTCTGTGGAGCATTTGAATACACTTCGATAGCATTCTCCTGAATTCCTTCTCAGGCAGTTCCAAAGCCTGCTTTCTTGCCAATGGGAAGTCTTAAGTGTACCTCCAGCTCATTTGTTTCAGCTATTCTATCTTGTTTCTGGACATGTGCTGATACCTTCAGTTGTTTCTTGGGCAAAACCAAATGCTTTGAGAGAATGAGTTGCTGGGCCTGGGGATTCTGGACCGCATGTAGTCTCAGGTCATCAAGGGCAATTGGCATAACCTAGCCCACAGAGATAATGTTGTACATTCTACTTTGAAAACAGCCATCAAAGGTGTAACTGTTGGGCTTTCCCTATCCAGAGCAGAAAAAAGTGAAGAAAATCAAAGATACTGAAAACTGAAAAATATGGAAAAGACCAAGGCTTACTGATCTGATAGACACTAGTGGAAACAGCAGTATTATGGTTCTTACATATCCTCAGGCCAGGAAACTGAACTCACCCCTGTACCTTAACTTTCAGACAAATGATAGGCCTATAAAGATAACAATAGCACCAGGGAGGTAAGCACTCCTTAGGACAATCAACCAAGGGCCATATTGGTCCAGGACTAAAGCTCTGAGGGCAGGAAGGCATAGGAAAGAAAGAGGAATAGAAAGAGTAAACACAAGGAGGAAGTGGGAAGAATGCTTGCTATCCATTGTGTTGATTGCAGTCAGTGTTAGAAAACAAAATGAACTGTTGAATGGAAAGCCAATATGCTCTGTAAACTTTCACCAAAATCACAATGAAAAGTTTTTAAAAATCCAATAAGACTGTCTGCTATTAAAACAGAAATTAAAAGATTTGCAAAAGAAACCAAAAAATGTAAAACAATTCTGCTCTTCCCACTAAATTGTTTTGTTGTGAAAAATGTTACCTGTGTTAACTGTAATAGATTCATGGTTTTGTTATTTTTTAAA